GGGCGGGTTTTGGTGTGTATTTACAGTCTACTCAGCCGCGCTGTGGCGTTGGGGAGCATGCAACATTTATTTGCCATGGCTGTTGATGCCACTGACGCCGCGTGCGTCACGCAGCCAGACGCAACGGCGTCGCCTTCTGCTGCTGATGCTGCCACTGCCGCTTGTGTTATGCATACGCGGGGCGTGCCAGCGGATGGCTGTGCACTGGAATTGGCTGTTCCGTGGGACGCGCAACTGTGGATCTGCATAAGAGCAAATTGCAAGCTGCGGTCAAAAATTTGTTGCTTTGACAGCCAGCTGCCGCAGCGTACAACCTCATGAAATGGCAAAGGATTCATTTAAATAAGAGAGCACAAAAATGTTCTATATGAATTATATAATAGTAATTGCCTAATGCAAGTTTTTCTAATCTTTAAAGTACTTTCGATTAACCAAACCTTACTTCAGTGTTGCAAAATATATGATTTTAGTGCTGTGCAGTGCCTTCATAAGTGCTGCATGTGTTGAGCCTCTATTCGTGCCGCATTTCCCGCATATGCTAAATAAACAGCTAATATTTTACAAACATTTTGTCGGGCCAGTGTTGCAAAATCCATTTCTAATTGCTGCTATCTCGTGCATTGTATAAAGCTTGAAAAATGAGATCTGTGCTTTCTCTAAGGAAAGATCTAATACACACACTTTTTAATTAAACAGCATTTAATTTACATTACTTTTTTCGAGCCACTGATTTAAAATGTTAATTTAGTTGTTATAAAATTGAATTATTGCTTACCGTGTCTAATGAATACATTATTATTGCATTCTCTTCAGATAACCTAAAAATTGGACACGTCAATCAAATCAACTTTTTTACAACACTTTTTTTTCGAGACAGTGTTGCAAATTGAAATTTTAAGTGTTTTTAATTGCAACTATCGCCGACATTTTCTGATGAATGGCATCACTTGATTGTGCATTCTCTTTAATTAGCTCATAGATATCTCTGCATACTTCTTAAACGCGTTTTTTTTTTTTTTTAGATTTTGCTAAACTCTGGACTTTTGGCAAAATGCGACCCTAACGACATTTCGATACATTTTTATCGATACTTAACTTGCTTCAGAACTTGAACCATATTCTTTAGAACAATTTTTGCCTGACCTTTGCTGGCTCTGCCAAAACTTTTAAAAATTCCTCATAAATGGCGTCTATCGTCGCATTTGTTGCTATTGCGGCACCTTTCATTCAGACAGACCCGCCCGCCCCTTTAGACCCACAAAATCCAGAGACCAGAGGCCACAGCTCAGTCAGCAAGAGACACTGAAACGGAGAGCCAAAGCCGGCCGAGCCACATGTTGAGGGTTGGAAAAATCGATTTTGGCCATTGCCAGTGGCGCCTGTTAGAGCAAAATGTTGTTTCGATATTGTTGTTGCTCTCCATGTTGTTGTTGTTGTTGTTGTAGAGTGTTGTCTGCTTTTCGCCGGCGCCTTATCTCGACATGCCGATAAAAATGTTGTTGTTTGTTTTCGTGTGTACTTTTCCGCCCATATATGCATAAGCCACAAAAATAATAGAAATAAAATGCAAAAACAAAAAAATATATATATATATAGATAGAAAAGAAGTGGAAGCCAAATGAGAAAATGTTCAATGGGCCGCGGCACATGGGGCTGAAATTTGATGCGAAATGTTTTGGCATGAATATGACATGATATTTTCTACAGCAGTTGTTCTTGTTGTTGTTGTTGTTGTTGCTGTGGGGAAATTCTTAAACATACTGAGAGCAAAATGTTGCTGTGGCGGCCGCGCAAAGTATGCAACAAATTTGCTCTTTACGGGGCTAATGGGGTGTGTGTTGCATGTGTGTTTGTGTGTGTGTGTGGCATTTGAGCTGTTGCTTCCGCCTGCGCACACACACGCACACACACAGACACTTGACTTGACAGCGCAATTAGCACATGAAGCAGCATCTTCTCGTCATTTCAAGAGTTTTGGCCATGTTGCTCTTTGGCCCTTTGCCTTAGCCAAGCTTTAGTTGTGAGGTTCAGGCCCAGGCCAGTGCAACGCCGCTTGCCACTTGGCATCGTTTAAGCTTTTCCTTTTGCTGCGGGCGCCGCGAGCTGCGTACGTGCCTTGGAAAAGCAGCGCGTCTGTCGCCCAAAACGTGCTAACATGGGACACCTGCCAACCTGCCGTTGCTCCTAGAGAGGCTCTCTCTCTGTGTCTCTCTCTCCCTCTCTCTCTCTGCCTGCATCCTGCTTCACCGTTTTGGCCACCACTTCTATGTGATTAAGTGCACTTGGCCTGCGACGGATGCGCTAAAAAAAATATATACGCATGCAAAAGTTCAACACGCTTAACTGCACTTGCAGCGGGTTAAGCGTTTTACAGGGCTTAAACAGACCCTAAGAGCACCTACAAAATGGCGGATCAGCAAAAAATCTACTTTTTTTTTTAATAGAAGCTGCGAAGAAAAAATGCACAGCAAGTGCATGCTAGGCCAAATGCTATAGAACTCTGCAACTGCTCTCGCAAATGATACAAGACTTAAAATTAATAAAAAATGCCAAAAAAAACTTATTTTAATATTGTTTTTAAAACAGATAAGTGTGCACTTGCAAACTAATTTGAATAGCAAATAAATTACAGCCAATGCTGCAAATTCAATTTTTAAGTGTTGTAAAATGCAAAAAAAACGATGAATCAATTTTCAATGGACTTTGTTTAGAAAAGCTTACAAAATAGCAAATATGTCTGCGCTTTTCTTCATGACGCGTTTTTCTTTTTCAGTTTTAAAAATTTACGATTTATTTTTAAGAAAATGATCTCAGCATTGTTTCGATACATTTATCAAAACTTCTCTGACCTAAGTTTTCGAAATTTGTTTGTGTTTCGTAATATATATATTTATATATAAATATTTAAATATATTATCTGAAAATATGCTCTTAAAATAATTATATGGGATATATATTCTTTAACAATTATCTTTAATGCACATTTGCTTGATAATTTCGAATAATATTCGACTCAAAATGGACGTTAACCGTCTCGAAATTAATCTCTGAATCGTTGAAACATTTTTTGTAATCATATTTGTACATGCTTTCATATGAATTGTTACGTAACACGCTACGTTACGCATATTTGCGTAATAGTTTAGTCGAACCTAATATATCATATAACTTTTTTTATCTTTTATCTTAGGTTCTGCCTTAAAATGGACGTGAACCGTCTAGTAATTGGGTCTTTGAAATATATTTTTTAATCATTTTTGTATACGATTTTATACGAATTGTTGCGTAACCGCTTACGTAATTGTTCACAATTAACTCAAAGCTTAGTTCATATTTTTATATAGCATATATTTTTGATTTTTTACTTTATATACATATTGTTTTGTATCTGAGCTTAATGTCTTTCTTTACCTAGAGTAAAAAAGCATAACTCTTACCCTATGAAAAAAGAAAATACATACTTTATCACAGCGTATAACAGTTGCATCGTCCTTGGCAACCGTTAGAAATGTAAATCAAATGGCGTCCACCCTTTGCGCGGACTGCATGAAATGTAATTCATATGACAGTCGCAAGTACGGAAAGTACTACTCGCTGCCTGATAACCTTAAGAGCCTCTTGCAAACTGCACTTCAACCCCCAAAAAGCAACAACAACAACGAAAACAACAACAACCACGGTCGAAAACTTTATCACGAATATGCTGGCTCTGTGTTTCTGGCCATCCCCTGTTGGCCAGCGGCAGAAGGGTGCGGGTACTGGGCTGAACTTTTGGGGTGAGCGAGCCTTCAGAGTTCGCCCCCCCAAAAAAAAGTGATTGAATAGACTAACTAAACCAATAGATGCGATAGGAATGTGTGTCTGAGCCTTGCAATCGCCCGCCGATAGGGGTGGCTAAAGTGGAGCCAATGCACGAGTGTGTTGAGCATTTTCGCAGGTAATTATTATTAGATATTGGGGTTGATTGGGTCTATGGGAAATACATATATATAGTGTTGATAATATTTGAAGGCAACTCAATAAGATTATAATGATATATGGAAATATACGAAATATTCACAAATGCATGCGGTTCAATTATCAATAGTAAAACAATTTATCGAAGCCTAATGTTGATCGCAGAGTTGCCCGTTTTAAATAAAATATAAATAATTATAATTATAATTTACCTTGTTAAAAAATATATAAATATATATCAAATCAATTTACCGAAGCAAATCAAATAAGCGAGGAGAATATTTCGATTAAAAATCTTATTATATCGACTTAAGATATCGATAACAAATCAGTTTGGAATGCTGATCGAGAAAGTAGTTAGTTTAACTATAACAAAAATAATTATTTTTATTTATTATTAATAATGAATGCATAATAGCAATATTTACCAGAAATTATTTAGCTTATCGATAACAATTAAAAAATTTCTCAAAGTAGGCCGATTTAAACTTAATGAAAATACCAACATCGATAATAACTCAATTTATCACAGCATAATGTTGATCGAAAAAAATATGTATTGAATTTGCCGAAAATAAATCAGTAGTATTATTACAAGCGAAAACAGTAATGCGTTTTACATTCAGCACAAATAGTTATAACTACTTAATTTATTATTTATAAATTGATTTATCAAAACAGGTTGAGACTGAAGAAAGTCTAATAAAGTTTACATGTCAATAAATATGGATTTAATTATTTGTCGCCAGCTTAATTTATCGCATAATGTTGATCGAAGAATGTAGTTTAATAAAAATATCGGACTAGTCAGACTCTCTTGATCTAAACATGATTTCAACTAACTTTATCGATAACACATACTTGAAAACGCTTTATCGATAACTTGCTGTTCGATCAATCTTCTCGATAGCAAGCCAATTTGTTATGATGTCTGTATGATAATTGATGTCAGTACAAAACTGTGAGCTTGCTGAATTTAACACATATTCGTATCAAAAATCGATATTTATCGATTAATGGAAGCTTATTATTATCGTACTTACCCGAGCATGCATGGTGACGTCGTTATCTCCGGGCTGAACACCGGTACGTATCTTTTTATTCTGGGGTCCCTCGCTGACGACAATGGTGGCCCCGCCACCAGTAACACTGCTGCCTGCGACTGCACCACCGACACCACCACTACCGTTGCTAGCACCGTTATAGGGCATTGTGGTCGCCGTGTTGAAGTTGAGCGAAGCCTCCGTCGTGCTGAATAGAGTTTTTTTCGATAGAATCTTGACGGTTTATTTTGGGCCGTAGCCTTTTTTGTTGAATAAACTGGACACTTTAGTTATTGGACACGGAATGATCCTTGCACTAGGCGCAATTGTTGTTGTGTTTTTTTGAATGTGTGAGTGTCTGTGTGTGTGTGTTGGATGTTGGATGTTGGGTGTTCGGTGTGACTGTGTATATGGTCGAGAGTGTGGTTTTCCTTTTGTTTTTGGTGTGTGGCACTCACTTGATAACGAGGAACGCAACACAGAATGCACCGGACACGAAAGACTTCACAACAATTTTGAAGAGATGGTTGACAAAAATGATTTGCTAAAATGTTGATTTAAACGCGCACGATTTTCAAGCTCTTCTTAGGCGAAGAAGCAGTAGACTTGTGAATATTTCTCAGAGATTTATTTATCTGAATGTTTGATTTATTTTTTCCTTTTAAACACTTGCTTCAACTTGAACTTTTAACTGCATTTGACGTTTTTCTTTTTGCTCTTTCTTTCTTATTGCACTTTCAATTTGCGTGTTGAACGAAATTTCTTTTCATTTATCGCTTGCTTTTTTAATTTTTGTTGTTGTTATGTGTTTGTAGTATCAGCTGTAAATGGGAGGAAAGAGAAAAGAGGTTAGTAAAACAGGTGAATTACAAATAAAAGAAAATAATCAACATACAATAATTGAGTGAAAATTCTCTATGCAAATTGCGGTGATCGCGCCGGGAAAAACTTTCTAATGCAAACGGAAATTAATTTAAGTATGCAATAAATATTTATTTAATGCCAAATCAAATCCAAGCATTTAATATTTATTTTAATAAAATAAAAATTCGTATAGTACTGGAATTTATTTCAATACAAAAACACTGAAAAACTGATCAAAATTTTCAAATTTAAAATAAGCTCTTATATACAATTTTTTAAAAAGTTCGGTTGCATGCAAATTCTATGGCATAAGACTGAAAACTTAAGGCCTGGGGGCAATACATAATTGTACTAATTTGTCATATATGGGCAACATTATCTTATTCTCATTTTATCAGAAAAGTGTGCTCAATTAGACACTAAATTGTCAACAATCATATCAATCATATCGATTGGCTTGGCAATAGGCAAATTTATGCTTATCACTAAAACAATAAAAAATATGCCAGAAATATATGGAAAATGCAGCTGATTATGTAACAGAAATAAAGTAATTGAAAACATATGGAATATAAGTGGAAAAAACGCAATGCTAGATTAGCAAGCAATTAGACAAAAAAAATAAATTGGTTCATATTTTTATTGAATAAGCCAAAATTGGTGCTGGAAACAAAATGGAGGCAAGAAAATGTGCAACTTTTAGTTTTGAGATCTTTTTGATATAAAGAATAAGTTTTCTTATACATATTTATTTAACATTTTCTTTCAAGAGAGTTTTCACTGCAAGTGAATTTAAATAAATCGAACAGGCAATATATGTGTTTTTTTTAACAATTTTATAAATGCAAGTGGCAGCTTTTTATAATAATTAAAATATAGCATGATTTATATATATTTATATATTTGCTCTGCCATGTTTTTTTTTTTATGATATGCTGCAACAATGGGAAATTCTTTCTAATTGGAGAGACGAGCGCATAAATCAGAGGCATAAACCAGACAAAAATACAAAACACGCACACACTCGCACACACACACACACACAGACTTAAATTGCAGAAACAACCCTCGTGAAGCTGACGACATGAAGAAGAAGCAGAAGCAGCAGCAGCCAAAAAGCGCCGGCAAAACAGCAACGTTTATATAGAAAAGAAGAAGAGAAAAAAGAAATATGGCCGAAAATGTCAAAATGAATTCGAAGGATAACGGCAACAAGGCGAACGGACGAACGGACTGACAAGTGACAGCATAAGGAAAAGCCAAAAGCAACGGTGAATGTGCGACGGAAAAGCGAAATGGAAACGAAATGAAAATGAAACACGGCCAGCGGACAACCTTTAACAGCGGAAAATCGCGTACAAGTAAACTTGAAAATGTTGTTTCTTTGGCCGCGTTGCCCGTTGCTGCAACCCCTAATGGGGGGGGGGAAACTGGGAAAATAGAAAAGCTGTAGAATGAAGTACGAGCGCTTGACGCTGCCGTTGCCGTTGCTGTTGCTGTTGATTTCTGCTTTGTTTGTGGGGGCGCGCGTTGGCCCAAAATGCCGGGGGTTGATTTTTCATTAATGAAACAAAAAGCCGCGCGGCGCGCGCTGAAAAAGCGAATGAACTTTTTAAGCACAAACACACACACACACACACACACACACACACACACACACGCACGCAGTCCGTGCGCTTTTCACACTCCATTTTCCATTTAGTCTGATTGTATTTTTTATTTTTTTTTTGTTAATTTTTTAAATTTATATTTTTTTTTTTAAGTTTTTGCATACCGCTCTTGAAAATGGCGGCCAAATAACAACGACAACAAAAGTGCAAATTGTCTGCTTGCAAATTTAGTTGAAAACTGTTGAATTTTTTCAATTTGTTGGTTCACACTCAATAATACGGCTAGAATTTGTTTATGAATTCTTTTTTTTTTTTGGGTTGTTGTTTAGTAGTTGTTGCTCAGCACATAATTGTAAAATTTGTAACTATATGCACATAGTGTTTTTTAAAAGTTTTTTTTTTTTTTATTTTTTTTTTTGTTGAGTCGTTGCGAAAGAAAAACCTGCACTCTGTGAATTTTAAACTGTCAATGGGCTCTGAGCATTTGCGATTGACAGTTCGCTAGACGGCGCCTACTTACATTTGGCTTTGACAATTGACAATTGTATTTGCTCTCGCACACGCACACACACACACATTTACATATATATTGTATATATATATATATATATATATATAGATGCGTATGCGAAATGTAACTGCTTTTTGTTATACGATTTTATTTATTTTGTTTAATTCTTTATTTTTGTTATTGGGAGTTGTGTGTAAGTAATTTTCATCCGTTATATTGAAGACTTCTGCTGTTGTACACTTCGGCGCCGCGCTGGCGAATGACGGTCAAATAAGAAATGAAAACCTGTGAGAGCGTTGAAACGTCAACGTCGGCTCTTTTGTCGTGTGCAGCAGCAGCAGCAGCAGCAGCGGCAGCGGCAGCAGCCAGCGCACGAGCGAGTGGCGGGCACACACACGAAGCGTCAACGCCGGCAGCGACGTTGGCAGCAAAAGAGAGCCCAACATACAGGCACGTCGCACAGGTAGCCGCTAGGCAGCAAAAGCCGCCGCCGCGGCCGCGGCAGCGTCAGCAGCAGCTGCACACGTTTTGATAGGGGTTGCAATATGAGAGAGAATAACAGTAAGAGCGAGAGCGAGAGCGAGAGGGACTAAAACGCTGGCCAGAGCGTAAGCCTAGAGAGAGTACGTGGCGAACAGGCAGCCAGACGCAAGAGTAAAAGTACCTTGTACGTTTTTTTTTTATGCTGCCCTTTTTGTTTGGCTATTTCGTGGGTGGCAAAGCAGCACCTACCGGTTACGTTTTGTTGTTGCTGCTGCTGCTGGTGCGAAGCAAAACAGCAAAGCAAACGACGCGCTAAGAAATGATTTTTGCAAACGCACAAAGCACACGTCACACACACACACACACACACACACGCAATTACACATGTATATATACACAACAATGAACACAAATGAATGTGTATACAATGCAATGCAATGCAAGTGCAGGCACAGCACAGTGAAACGGTAAAATAACACTTTCACCCGTTAGGCGTCGGCTTTTCTGCTTACCTTGTTTTTGGCTTGTTTTCTTTATTTATTTTTTTTCACTCCAAATTGTATTGCCGCTGCACTTCGATTAGAATTAGCACGAAAATAGTTTATTATATGACTTTTTGTTGTCTAAATTCGCATGCAAACGATTATTTTCTGTTGTTTTGTTACTGCTATCGCGTGCGTCTGTCCGCTTGCTGCTTACTTCTCAGCGGCCCTTTTTTAATACAACACAAACAAAACGAATGTGGCGGCCAGACAGAGACAGAGACATAGACAGAAACTGAGCAAAGGCAGTGACACAAATGACAGAGATAGTTGGCACTAAAAAGCAGCGAGAGTGTTGCGAGAACGAGAGCAGCAACAATCGAGTTTGAGAGTTTGTTATGTGTGTATGTATGTATGTGTGTGTGTGTGTGTGTCTGGTCTGTTTGTGTGCGAGTGTGTGTGTGCGTGTATATGTGGCGTAGACGTCAATGCGGCGGGGCGAGAGAGCGAATACAGCGCACGCAATGGAAAAACTGGCGCGGCGACGACACAACGACGACGCGCGGAAGTATTTAATTGAGCCTAAAAATGTTTTTAATTTAAATTGATGGCTATATGCAAAATGCACAAACACACGCACGTTAGTATATTCTACTGCGTTATTGCACAATACAATTATAACAATACACAAATTGCCGTCTCTCGTTGTTGCTATTTAGTTGGATTTGATTTCGGGTGCGCTTTTCTGCTGCTACTGAAAGGTTTTCAACCGTGCGCCACAGTGTCTCAATTCGTACTGAGAAAATGAGCGGCGTGCTCTGCAGTAAAAAACCACATTTGCCACATAGTGTGCGAACAGTACAGCATGTGTTCGTGTAAGCGAACGCTCTCTTACAAGCGTGCGCACCTCGCACAGTCACAAGCACACAAACGCACGCTGGCAACGCAAGTGTGCTGTTGCCTGCTGTTGCTGAGAGCGTAACCAGAGCGCGCAAGTGAAACGTGCTCGCTCTCGCTCCCACTCTCCCACCTAGCGCTGTAATGAGCACGCCGGAGCGTCGTCGTTTCAATGTACATAAACATACGAGCATATGTATTTTATGCTTGTGTATGTGCGCGCTTTGCTCAATGCGTTGGTTTTGTTGTTTGTGACTGGCAAAATTGCGCACAGTGGGCAAAGACTGTCGAACATGTTGCATGTGGAACTAAAACAATTGTATTTTAACATTTGACTGGTCATGGTATTTGTTATGTTATTCCAAATTTGTGTCATTCACATTGTTTATCAATCGAAAGTTAAATAATTTAAGCAACGCTGAGAATAAATTAACTAAATTAAAATATATATTTAAATTAAGTAAATAGATTCGCATAAAATAATAAATATGTTTAAATTATTTTTGCTTATGAAAATTTCCTTATGCGATTTATCGATAGATCGACTGATTGTCAGTTCAGCAGCTAAGAGCGCATGCATTTTGCGCCGCTCTTCGCGTTTTATGAACCTTTCTCTTAAACTTCTCTCGTTCACCCACGCGCAACAACAACAAAAAGTGTGCTTGGGCAGCTCTCAACTCGTTGCATTTTCATGCAATCGCAGTTAACAGTTGCCTCAGATTATTTAACAGCACGCTGTTAAGCAACAGTTGAACAGCATAGACAGCAGTGCGACTGTTAAATTTAACAGGCAATGTTAGCATGTAAATTACATTTATCGTTATTTTGAATAAAGTTAAACTTACAAAAAAGTTGATTATAATATTTGAAGGAAAAAAAACTTAAAAGAAAGTGTGTTGCGCAAAATATTAAACGGGGAAAGGTATTTATTATAAATAGGCATTTATTTAATATAAATGTTGGTCATTTTGCTAGAAGAATTGTGCGTTTTTTTTAATCTTTGAGCACTGCATTAACGCTTCCCCAGCTGCTCTTATCGGTAAAGGCACAGAAAAATTGTGCATACTTTTCTTCTTCTCCTTTTATATTAGATTTGAGATGCGGGTTGGATAACAATGGTAACCGGGGCAGTCAAATAGCAGGACATGTCCGAGGGTCTGCCCGGCACACCCTCCTCCCCCTGCGCTCTTAAGTCGCATATACACATGAATGCCGCTCGATGGCGACGGTTACGTGTTTTCCACTTCAATCCCCGCCGCTTGGCATTGGCATCCTTTCGCTCGTGCCTGTCCAGGGCTCAGGCGCTTTGCTTAATGCCAAAGTGCAGGACAACAGCAACAACAACAAAAACAACAACAACAACAGCAGCAACAACAGCAACTGCTGCAAGTCGCCTGGTAAACAACATAAACTATTTAGTCTATGTATGCGTGTGTTATGTGTGGGTGGGTGTGGTGGGGGGTGGTGGGGGGTGCTTCTCTGCATGCGTGGGCGTGGCCAAACATTGGTAACAAGCGTGGGCTTCGACTAGCTTCTGGCCTATACCCTGCAGGCACAACCCAACCGTCCTGGGTGTATCAAGCCGATTAATTTAACAGAGCAACAGGCTTTGCGGAAAAAGCCTGTGAAGTTGTCTTTAGTTAAGAGAATTTTAGATTTTATGCAACTTTTGTCAGGGGCTTACCTCTAAAAGGTCAGCAAATGGATTTTTCTTCTAATTTTTGACGAGATGCACTTCTAGTCAGGATTTTATCTCTAGATTCGGCATGTAGATTTTGGGACTATTCGTAAATAGATATTTATTTTTTTTTATATTTTTTTAAAATATCTTAAAAATATCTTTTTTCATATTTTTATATAACGTTCGTTACATACTTTGTGATCAATTCAATATTTTTTTTTATTGTCATGAAATAATTTCGACTTAAAGGATCAGAATTTCTCTATATGTGTAAGTTAACATAGATAGTATATATATTAATAATAATATATATAAAATATACATTTAATATTAATGATATGATATACAAAAACTAAGATATTTTGGTTAAAAACTTATTTGCATTTGATTAAAAAAATCGATGAATTGAATTGAATTCTAGATATTAAAAAATATATATGGATTTTTTTAGACTATTATCTGAGTGAAGTTTTGGGGTTATTTAAGGTGAGTTACAGGGTATTTATTATTATGAAGGTCATTTTGAAGGAAAGGTGTAGTCCAGGCTATTTGCTATTATTTTAGGGATTGTATTGGATCAAAAATAGGTTGGATCAAAAATAAGACGAAAAGCTGGTTATTTGCTTATATTTAAAGATATTTATTTTTAGGTTAAACGAGGTAAAGTACAGGGTATTTGCTATTATCTTAGGGTAGGGAAATTTTGAAAAAAAAAAGCTGAAGTATAGATTATTTGGTATTATTTTGGGGGAATTTTGGGTTAAGTAAGATAACCTTAAGGGTATTATTTAAGGGGAATTTTCGGGTAAAATATACTGAAGTATAAAATAATTGCTAGTTCAATTTTCCGAACTAGTTCTAGTTCTATTTTCCGAACTAGTTCAGGAGAAGTTTATTAAAACTGCTTACTTTTGGAACCTGTTGCTAATTGGACTTCTTTTATAGACTGCACTTTAGTCGAGTCCCATATTGTTCGTTTATTTAAGTACAGGGTATTTTTAAGTTGCGTATTTAAAGAACTGCAAAGCTTAGGTCCACCCTTTCGCAATTGGAGCAGAACTCTTTGCCAATGTTTGCATCATAAAATATGGATTTAGTTGTGTGTATGCGATGCGTGTGCGTGTGTGTGTGCGTGTGTGTGTGCGCGTGTGTGCAACGCTCGAATGCACCTATCGATGGAAAATATGTTGCTGTTGCCATAGTTGTCACACTTGTTGCAGATTGCATTCCATGATGTCTTCTTCTTCTTCTTTCTCTTTGTTATGGCATACAATTAAAAGTAATACAAACTATAGGATCAAGCAGATTTCTTAGCCATAGCAAACATACTTTTGTGCGCGCACTTGTTAGATATTGAGATATTGACCAGTTGCATAGCAAGCAGCTCTGTGTCGTTTGAGAGATTAGCGCTATAAAAGCAGAAAGTTTCATAGCGTTTAGAGATGAAATTTAGAGAGAAGCAGCGAGGAAGAGAGTTTTTTTTAAGATTAAACTAGTCTTAAACAAGGTTAAAAGCATTTTTGTCTATCTTATTTCAATCGAATTAGTTTAATATAGTTACATATATATTTAAAGTAGTAGAATCTTATGAAGAGAGAAGGAACGAGAAAGAGAGTTGTTTAAGACGGTTTAAACTAGTTTCAATTCGAATCTAATTAGTTTATGAACGGTTCATATCAAGTTCTAATTGTATTCAGCATAAATATTCTATAAAAGCAGAATATTTGATTGTTTTTGAAAGAGTTAAAGTAAATAGAGAGATCGAGGGACGAAGAGAGTTGATTAAAATTGCTAAAGCTATTTCCAGTCGAATTAGTTTAGGATAGTTCAATGTAATGTTTTAATATTTATATAAATCAGAATATTAACAAAATAGTTTTCAGAAGAGTAGAAAGATTTGGAGAGAGAGCAAGCGAGAAAGAAAGTTGTTTAAGATGGCCTAAACTCGTTTTCAAGAATTCTTTACCACCTATTTAAAGCGCATTTGTTTAAGATTGTTTCATATATAATTCATATAGCATTGGGATTTACTATAGAACTAACGCCTGACATGGATATAGTCACAGATAAAAATGAAAAAAAAATCAAGTCGGCTCCTAAAGGAAAACAACATATTTTCGCTGAGCAACAAAGTTCCGTTGTACCCAGTTTGGTTCAATGCCAGCTAATTCTGTGGAAGAGCAGCAAATAGCCTTAGAACAATTCTTCCTCTAGGCCAAGGTTCTCAGACTAAGTACTGGGGAACCTTGGCAATTCCGATCTTCTATGACTGCAGTCCACCAGCTACGTGGCCTGTTTTTTTGTTCACCTTCATATGCTGGCAAAAAAGATTTGCAGAAGAAAGAGCCCAGTACTTGCATAGATTTAGATTAAAATAAAATAATTAAAACAAAGTACAAGATTTAATACTTAATGTTAAGCAAGTAAATACAAAGTTAAAAAGTTAAAGCGAAGTGTTTCTTTCATCCTTGTAGAAGTTCTGGAGAATTGGTGTTCACCCAATCTTATACTGCTAGAAAGCAATGGGAGCTTAAATTGGGATATAGATGGAGATAGTTAAAGTAAATTCTTGAAATTAAGCTAGGCTGTTTAAACTAAATATATAATTTGGGTACAATATGAAGTCGACTTGAATACCCTTTTATAAAATAGAGTTTTGCCAACTTTGGGGATATAAATGCAGGCTGTAAATATCCAACAAGATTAAGGAAATTTTTAAGGGAACAGAACATTGTCATATATTTGAGTGGAAAAACTTCGGATACTTTTATTATATCACAGTTGGGCGCAAAAACTGATTAGCTATGGAAATTTCACAGGCATTTCAAGCATGTCAAGTAAGGTTTGTTTTTGAATTTGATAGAACGTATTCTTTAAAGACAGTTTCTTTAGTTGCTTTTTTATTGTCTTGTGCCACAATATGAAAGTCGCATACTTTCTGTTCTTTACTTTTGCGGTTGCAGCTGCTCTGAGGGCCTGCCCACCGAATCATATACAAGTATTTATGGATTGTATTCCAAAACGAACCAGACCACATACAACCAAACGATTTTCAGCAAGAGCACCTTTTAATGCTCTATCACATGAGGCATTTTTAAAAATGTTTCACACTTAAATTTGATACAAACATAAATAAAGCAATGAGACTCTGTTACTGAAAAGCATGAATGTAATTTAACGATTATTATTATTTTTTTTTCTTCAATAT